AAACCCTATCCAGGGTCTCTATGGGTTGGAACCGACTCAGTGGCACTTAACAACAATAATAGCATTCAGTTGGAAAAACAGGTTGGTTTAAAAAAAAAATTTGTGTGTGAATTCAGTGAAGATTTACAGTGTTGATCATCAGTTTTACATTGAACAAATCATATACTTTGTGTCATCTCAGTGATTGCTGTCTCCTCTATGTAACAAAAGTTAGCCCACTGCTTCTCTGTGGGTTTTAGTTCCAGTCCACCCTCCTGTCCAACACTTGGAAAGTTTGTCCTTCGGTAAATGTTGACCTTTTGATCTTGAATAGTTGACCATTCCATGGTGAGCATAGTACTGTACTAGTGTTGTTGGACCCTCCCCCCATAGTATGCCTATTGGGCCATGAAGGTGAATTCCATTCCAGAACTGAAGGGTGGCCAAGGGCCATAGTCTCAGGTTCATCCAGTCTCTTTATGACCAGTAAGCTTGGTCTTTTTTATGATTTGAGTTTTATTCCACACTCTCTCCACTCTATTATGCTGCACCTTCAAGTATAATCCCTTTCAGAGCAGTTGGTACTGGTAGCTGGGCACTGTCTTGGTCTCAGAGTCATGGAATCATGGAGATTGATGTTCATGTGTTCCATTAGTCCATTGACTGATTCCAGACATCTTCAATTTTCATCACTCTTCTTGCTTCCTCACAGGGAGAGATCAATAGTTGCCCCTTAGATGGCCGCTTATGAGCTATTAAGATCCCAGTTGCTACTTAATAAAGTAGGATATAGAACATTGTCTTTGTTGACCATTGTTGTTGTATGCTGTCAAGTTAGTTCCGACTCTTAATGACCCTATATGTAAATCTTTATGGGAGCAGAAAGCCTCATCTTTCTCCCTCACACTAGTTGGTGCATTTGAACCTGCTGGCCTTGAGTGAGCAGCCCATTGTGTAACCTGCTGTGCAACCATGGTGTCCTCTGAGACTATGGTGTTAAGACCCCAGGTCCAGCAACTCATTTCCTCAAAGTGTTTGGTAATGTCTAAGAAGTTGTCATCATTTGTCCTCTGTATGCGCTACCACATGCATAGGTGTGTTTGTATCAAAGATAAATACCCATATACAAATATCTTCTGTCAAGCCCTTATATATTTGCAGGCATACTCCACTCTCCCTCCCATACCCATTCAGCCTGTGTATCCGTCCATGTATCTACCCATAAAACACTGTTGTTGCAGGGTTGTGTATATAATAGAAAAATATACTGTATCATTTAAACTTTTAAAATATTTTGGGGTCATAGGATATTGAAACCTGATAATAAGTGAAATCAATCTTAAATGAATGGGTGTTCTATTTTTGTTTCATGACTTTGTTCAGGCTTTTTGTCTTACTTCCTTTTGTTCTTTTCTGCCTTTTTTAAGTCCTATGACTTGATTTCATTGTTTTAGAACTGTTTAATTATTGTGAAATGTCATTTATTCATTTAGTCATAGAACCGACTGCTAGATAGATTTAAAGTTAAAATGCAGACCATAGGGCAAAGCATGGGAACATCTATATAGGTATGTGTATTCTTGTTTACAGACTTTCTTTGGTATTTGGCATTGAATCGTGTTTGGATTTTAAATGTTTTGTTTAAGTAATTGCTAAAGGTGATTTTTTGTGTTTTTGAGAGGGAGGATATGGAATAGGCATGATGAATTGAGGGTTAGGCTTGGGACTATTGTTAGGATATGGTTAGTGTTGACGTAAGGGTTGGGCTACGGCTAGGAATAAGGTGTGATCTAGTTTTTAGGGTTATAGTTAAGTTTGTTTTTATTTATTTCACTTTTTTCTTGGTAACTACTTGATTTTCTCTTCATTTGGAAGTTTTGTGACTACATTAGTTTCTCTTTTAACTTAAAAGGCTTTTTGTTTTTGTTGCAACTGTGTCTCTGGTTCTCTGTTTTCAGTCTTAGAGGCCTCTTTTACTTTGCATTCTTCTACATCTGAGTTGAGGCTAGATGATACTGTCATGTATGCCAGTCTCAGGTTGTTTGCTGCTGTTCTCTGTTCAAAGAACTCCATTTAGTATTTTTTAAAAGATT